CAGAGAAGTTTCACACCTGATATCTGGTACTTTCATTTGCATTAGATTGACATGGGTCATGATGCTCCACGGACTGAGGCATAAATTCAGCTAGTTGTTCTCGCAACGCATTCTCATGCTCTTCCATCTGAAAGACATTTACGCTAAGGTGAGACATCGCCTATATCGTGCATAGCAGGTGAAATATCTATCAATGCCTACCTCTAAGGACATCGAAATTGCACGGGCAATGTCCTCATCTTCCCGGTTAATAACCTCTCTTGGAGATAAAACGCTAGATGGATCCTGCATCAATAACAAAAAAAATATGTGAGGCTCATGCAAACAAGGAGCTAGACAGGGTGGGTGAAGCTAGAATACTATACATTGTCCAAACTATATCTAGTGTTGTGACGACCCTCTTGAAAATCCTTCTTCGATGCCTCAATGGCAGCTCTGATCATTTCTTCTTCTGCATCGTTGCTATGGACGGGTGATTCAGCATCCCTATGAGTCCCACCATGGACCTGGGATCCATAGCTTGGTGAGTGCCTAGCATAACCGTCTCCAACCTCTCCAAGTCGAGGAGGAGGATGAGTCTGATCATTTCCCCACATAGAGTGAGCAGGGAACCCTGTGACTTCTCCTGTGTGAGGTGATGGCGAAGGACTTCCAGAGAGAGCAGAGCCGCTGAGCTGCCTAAAGATATTTCGTCTGTAATTGGGATCTAGAAGCAAAGACGGTCTAAAAGCCCGAGCAGCCGAGAGGATAGATGGAAGTGCGCCTGGGACTGGCCTAGGCTCGTTGACTGGCCTAGTCTCGATACCACGAACGTGATTGTTATCTTCCACAACATTGTAGTCTGAACGAGTTTCTAAGCTTGAGTCATCATAACTGGAAGGACAACCCAAAAGAGAAAGGCAACAAAACAATGAAAAAAGAAAAATCAAAGAAGAGAAACTCAAAAACTGTTAAGAAGATTGAGAAACATACATGCTTCTTTCCACATCTCTAAAGTGGGAATTGATGGCTTCAGGGAGATTATTGCCATGTTCCTGATCAAATTTCACAGAATTTCAACTTCTAGTAGTGCAATAACGCAACGATTCATAGATCTACACTGATAGACTAACAAGCGAGTTCGATGCACAAGACCTAAAACCCTAACTCTCCCAATTCAATAACATTTCAAATCTATCAGCAGCATTTACACATTTGATCGCAGAACTAACCACATCTTCTCTAGATTACTATCTATCGTCAATTTTGGGTGAAGGCATTCCGTGAAAGTGTCTTCTCGGAGAACCGGAGAGAGAGAAATAATGTTCTGACGGAGAAAGAAAAGAAAAGAAAAGAAAGAACCTCAAGTCGCTGAATCGCTAGTGACTCGGACGCGCCAGTGATGCTCATGTAAGATTGGATAGCGTCTCTCGTCGGAATGACCATTTCCGCCGGAGAAATCGGTGGCTGTCGGTTGGAGAAGAACAAGCTCGCCGGGAATTATGGAAGCAGCGGCGTTCTAATATGTATTTTGCTTTGTTAAGAAAAGATGATTAGAACCGACGAACGATGATGAGTCGCCACAACAGTGACGTAATCAATAAATAATAAAATTCTGAAATCTCATCCTCAATTACTTTTATACTCTACCAATTCTGTATATTTATTTTCTAAAATTTCATATACATTTTTTTTTTTTTTTAACATCTAAACCAATTTTATTAATATGAATCAGAGTATACATGATTATCAACGAGATTACATATACAACCAATAGTTTGTGTAACAAAAAAAACGATGAAGCAAATTACGCGCCGCTTTCTTAGTCAAGTTCTTTATCATCTTCGTCATTTTCGTCAATCCGGTTTGACTTTCTTGCTTGGGAATCATCTTCTTTTTACTGACGAAATACTGGTAATGCATTCGAAAGTCATAGGCAGCGATCCATCTGTTACATCGCAAAACCTTCGTATTGATCGAAACTCTGATATAAAATGAGATGTCATTGGTCTTGGTTGTGCTTAAAACCCATTGTTGTTTATATGGTATAAACCATCTTCTGATTATCCTCCATAGATCGTTGCTTATTGTCACTATCCAATCATCCCCGAATTGCCTCTTTTTCCATGGTGGTTTCCATGGACTTTTTCTCCAAAGCAGATCTGGTTGTACTAATTGTGAAGACACCAAATCCCGACATCTCCATTTATATTTGTAAATCTGCGAGAACAAGACTGCATCACATTGAATCATGGGCTTCGATGTGGAGATAACTGCCGAAGAGTGGGAGAGATGTTCCATGAAAACCACATCACCGACAAAGAGAATAGCAACCATCACCATAAAGATGAAGAGAAATCCATTGAAGGAAATAGATCTGAGAACAATCTGATATAATAGAAAAGTTCCCATCACAATTATTGAAAACAGTAAAAAAACAAAGTGATTAACAAACTAGAACCACCGGCAAATGCCGGCGGTCCGGAAAACCAGAGAGAAAAACGGTTTTGATCAGTATCCCCTTTTGTGTCGCAAGAGAGAGAGTCGTTTCTTTTCTTTCTTACGTAGCATTGTCATCTGGCAATCATTGAAAATATACATTATAAGTGTATATAATTAATAATATTAACAGTATATTAATTGTTATGATATTTTAAAAACTAATTAAGTTTTGGGAGACTCACAAAAATGCCCCTTTTTCAATACCCCTTTTCAAAAATGCCCCCTTTGGATGTCCATTTTTAAAAATACCCCTTTTATGTACAAAATGACTAAATTACCCTTCTTTTAATAAAAGATATCATAAATATATAAGGAAATATAACAAAATTAGGTCCACAAAATACAAAATATTTTTTGGCGGGAAAAGTGATCCCCCAATTTTTCCCGCCAAAACACTTGTAAAAATTTGTAAAACCTTTAAAATACCTTGTAAAATTTTCCCGTAAAATTTTTTCCCGCCAAAAAATTTTCCCGCCAAAAAATTTTTTTTGCGGGAAAAGTGATTCCGCAAATTTTTTGGCGTTAAATTTTTGGCGGGAAAATTTTTCCCGCCAAAAATTTACAAGGTATTTTAAAGGTTTTTTACAAGATATTTATAAGGTTTTACAATGTATTTTAAAAGGTTTTACAACGTATTTACAAGGTATTTGTAAGATATTATAAGATTTTACAAGCTATTTTATAAGGTTTTTACAAGTTATAAGGTTTTACAAGTTTTTTATAAGGTTTTATAAGTTATAAATACCTTATAAAACCTTATAAGTACCTTGTAAAACCTTTTAAAATACATTGTAAAACCTTACAAAACACTTGTAAATACTCTGTAAAACCTTTAAAATACCTTGTAAATTTTTCCCGCCAAAAATTTTCCCGCCAAAAAAATTTCGCAAAAAAAAAATTGCGGAATCACTTTTCCCGCAAAAAAATTTTTTGGCGGGAAAAAATTTTACGGAAAAATTTTACAAGGTTTTTTAAAGGATTTTACAAGTGTTTTGGCGGGAAAATTGCGGGATCACTTTTCCCGCCAAAAAATATTTTGTATTTTGTGGACCTAATTTTGTTTTAAATAAGGGTAAAATGGTTATTAAAAATTAAAAGAGGGCAAACTTAAAAATGGACTCTCAAAAGGGGCATTTTTGAAAAGGGGTATTGAAAAAGGGGTATTTTTAACAATTTCTCTTAAGTTTTTAATTTTTTGATCTTTTCTTTTTTGGTCAAAATTAATATTAACACCTAAGATAATACATTATAAAACAATAATAAAACGACATATGATATAATTAAAGAAATATATTTAAACTTCTATATATACATTTTTGGATGACTTTTAGCAAATAAATCCTGGAGTTAGAATGTATTTACGGATGAATGCCATTGGCATTAATTATTTAAATTTAAAAAATATTAATTAAAGATATTACCAACACGATTTCGAGAATCATAAATTCATATCTTCCTTAATTTTCTGAGTCATTAATGTGATAATCTTTAGGAAATATTTCTCTGTAAAAAAAAAAATCCACATTAATGAAGGCATTAAAATCGACACTAACAATTAAATTATTTAGATATTCAATTATTTTAAGATTCTTATATCTTATTTGATATTTTTTTTAATATCTCATTCTTTAATTACTGCGTTTAGAATTTATTGGTTGTTACCTATTTTTTGGTGAAATTTATTGGTTGTTACTTAATAAGTAATTATGGTGCGTTTATTTTAGTTAATATCTAATTTAAAGGATTTGTTTTCTTTTATTATTAATAAACGAATAACATGTATAGAAATAAAAGATTTTTCTTGCGACTCCATGATAAAAATATTAAACTCTTATTTTCTACATTTCTTACACATAATATCCTCTTATTCAATAACAAAAAATATATATTGCATATTTTTAAAAATATTTATAATATTTAAATTATATAAAAAGTTTGTAATATTAATATTATTTCAACTCTATACAAATTTAATATATATGTATATATATCTTATGGGAACCATTTAAAAGAAATTTTTAAATTGACTTGAATTATATAGCTTTTAAATAAAAGTATTATTAAAAAGAAAAATAACTAAATGATGTTTAATTTCACGGGACAGATAATATGATGGGACGGGTTTGGGTTGATATTTATAAAAGATAGTATACCACGGGTGAAATCCTAAAATTAACAATCAAAATAATCTATCAAACAAATTACATTTTGATTTTTTTAAGAAAATATAGCTCCACGGTGTACCGCGAGTTAAAATCTAGTTTCGTACATTATTGTTTACCAATAGTAGTAAATTGTTTACCAATAGTAGTAAATAGAAGACCATAAAAGTGAAGCCTTCCACACTCTTTTTTTTTTTTTTTCCTGTGATTTTTTAAAAACGTAAATATTTTTTTTTTAACTCGAAGATATTTAAAAACGTAAATATATATTTTCTGTTTGTTTTGTTAATATTGGTAAAGAATATAAAATGACCATAAAATAACCATTGAAAATAAGGAAAAATATTATGTTAAGGATGAGAAAGACGTCGGTTGTCCAAGTAAATAAACGTCGGTCTCTCTAATCCTAAAATCGCCGATTCAATTCCTAGGGTCACCACCATCGCTTAGCTATCTTGTTATCGATAAAGGTAAAAAAAATTCTCTCTTTTTTGCTCATCAGATTCTACATTCCAGCTATCGTTTTCGTTGTTTCTGCGGCGATATTCATCGTTGGTTTCCTCCGATTGCGTAGCCTTTGTCTTTCACAATTTCAATTTCTGATGAAACATTCTACTTTCCCTTCTCTCAAATCGAAAAGTATATGTAATTTCATTGTTGATTTTGAAAGTTTCAATCTTTTGTAGGGTGAATTTGAGTTTTATCGAAGAGGATGGATTTCGTCAACAATCTTGATACCGACACGTCGCTATCGATTCTTTCTTGTCTAGATGATCCTTCAGATATTGTCCGTGCTAGTGCTGTCTCACGCTCCTGGCGACAATTTGGTATCCTCTTTAATGTTTGTTATTTACTGTTAATCTCAGTGTTGAATCTTGAGTTTGGTGGATTAGAATTTTACCTCTCGTTTCCTAAAAACAGCTGCTTTTGCATTTGCAGTGATTAAGTATAGTCTCTCCAGGAATCTATGCTTGAAGTTGTTCCATCAGCTATCTAATGTGGATCATATAGTAGAAACAAGTAATGATAGTAACGAAGCTTCATCTGAAGCCGGGTCAAGCAGTCTCATCGATACAAGGCTACTTGAAAAACAGCACCGGGCTTATGCTTTATTGGCTAGAGGATGCATGTCGTCCCCTATCCAAAGCTGTATAGCTGATGCCATTATAGCTTCCAGTACTGATAATTTCCCAGCAGAGAGCATCTTAAACACACTCGAAGAAAGAGATCGGATTGGTCGAACCCCTTCATATTGGTCGAGTACAGGGCAACACAGAACTTCGGTGCCCGAAACACTTCTTTACAGGTTGAATGGTGATTTGTGTGTCATTACTGAAATCAACATTCAGCCTTTCCAAGGTACCAATGCAATCCTTGTGTTAATGTTTTTTTTTTTTTTTTCTGATTCTATTGCTTAACAGTTCCCCATTTTCTGTAGCTTATTTTCAGCGCGGTCGTCCGATATACTCTTCACATTATGTTCGTTTCCGGTTGGGTCACCACAACGAAAATTCACCCAACTGCAACAATTCACAGGATAAAAAAGGTGAGCCGGGAAAGAGTTCAGTTGAAAGCAACTATGTATGGACTTACACTTCACAAGAGTTTCCGATGGCTCAGGTGTGTTACAAGTCATTTTCATCTTTAGCATAATATAAAACTTGTTCCTGAACTGTTGATAACCAATGATGGTTTCTATGAGTAGGAAAATCGATTGCAGAGCTTTAAGCTTCCAGAACCTGTTCTTTGCATTGGTGGGTATATCCTAGTCGAGTTTCTAGGTAGAGTTCAGACACAAGAAATGGATGGCCAGTACTATATATGGTACACCTTCTCTCCCTAGTGGTCTAGGTTTTCCTTAAAAACTTCACAACTTTCTGCAATGTGAAAGTAGTTTCTGTTGATTGTTTTGCAGCGTGTCACATGTCAAAGTGGAGGGAAGATCTCTAGCAAAGTCATTTCGAGTTGAGAATGTGGATGACAATGGAAAATTTGGATTGAAGGTTTTGAGTTACAGTGATCCGAAAGAAACGGAGGAGATGGATGCAGAGGCGGGGCAGGAGATGGATGCAGACGCGGGGCAAACTCAGCTGAGAAACCTTGAACAGCTCTTGAATTTGTTGCACAGGCATCCTCTCGAGGTTGTCAACTATGTTTGGCCTGAATCAGACGACGAGTATGCTGAATCAGAAGATGAGGCTTAGTTACTGAATTACTATTTCCAGTTATTTCTTCTTTTTGGCTTTAATTTTTAAAGAATCTTTTAGGTGTTTTTTCATCTTTTGTGAGCGGTTTTAAAAGCTTTCTTCTCCAGCCATCCTTATTAAACATTGTGTTAAAGACCTTAACCGAAAGTTAACAGCCATTTTGGCTCTCTCTTATCTTTCGGTGTTGTAAAGATTGTCAAGTTTCGGAAATAATAATTATCGGCGAAGTAGTAGATGCAAAAGAGTGAAGGTTTGTGCCAGTGTTATTAATTCATCATTCCAGAGAATCAAAGCAACCTTTTAAACAACAAAGCAAAGATAGGAGTATATTGGAAATTTTCAAGAAACCAGTAAAGTCAATTTGACTGAAGACATATAAAAGAGATAACTGAAGAAAAACACAAGTTCTAGTTCAAGTTCAAACATAAGACGCGAGAAACACTAAATTAAAAACCAAAGACAAACATCTCATTCTCATAATTCAGGAGACAGACAGAGCAATGCAGAGCTTTGTAATTTAAGGTTTAAGCTCTTTGGCGAGATCGGTGAAGATCTTATCGAAAAGCTCCTTATTTGAGCCCTGTCCCTCCTCCTGCAGATCAAATTCGAGGTCAGAGAGGCTGATTCCATCCTGCATCACTTCTTCATCTAATGCTTCATGTGTCGGCATTTGTTGCTGAGCACCAACATTATTGTTTGAGGACTCTTGCGGACTCAATGGAATCTCATGAGGTCCCACAGACTCCCCATCGCTCTCCAAAGGCAGAAAATCTTGGTCTTCGAATTCATTTTCCACTGTCCAAGACCAAATTTGGTTACTTCATCAAGTACAATACCATAATAGACCAAGAATGGGATTAGAAACAAAATGTTTCACATAATTAATACCATATCTCAAAGATCACCTATGACAAAGCAGAACTGGAATCTTAAGTAACCTAAAACATATGCATTGTATGTATGTATATAAATTCAAAAATATTGCAATCAATCCAATATTATTTGAGATCTGAGAGGCTCACCAGAAGCAGTTAAATCAATCAATGGTTGAGCGGACCAATTTTGAAGTTCCTCCTCCATACAAACCAGTTCTGGGCTCTTCTTCTCACTACCTTCTCCATTCTTCTTTATCTCTGTTGGTTCCTTTCTTTCATTGTTGGCTTCTTCTGAATAAACCATAAGAGTTTTCACATTGGTGGATATAAGTTACCAAAAAAGATATCGATCAGTGAAACTCACCTATATTTGGGACAGCTTCTAAAGTTTTGGTTTGTAAGGCATCTGCAGAAATAAGTTTTAGCTTCTTTTGGTCTCCCAAATCAGAGCCATTCTTCTTCTCTGTATGTTCTCCAGTATCTTTATCCGCTCTTTCCTTTCTTTTGCTACCTTGTCTGAGTTCATCTGCATAAAACAAAGTTTTAGTAAAACCTCAACAGCAAACAAAAACGCATCAGGAGATGAAATGGAGATGTTCATCATCTGTTTCTCTAAATTCGTTCTGCATTTCTGAAAATTCTCACCTTTGAACTTATCAAGATCTTCTGTTTCAACTTCGTTATTTTTCTTAAGCTCATCTCCAAGAGATTGATTGTTGGTGATTGAATCATTTTTCTCAGGTGGGTTGATGTCAATTTGACTAAGAAAGTCTCGCTGTCTCCTGACTGTAAACTGCCACAGAAGTTTTAAGTCATTCTCCTTAAACGGCTTCTCCAGACACAATTTGGCACCTCTGCACAGACATTCCACAATGGCATCTTTCACATATGCATCCGAAACTGTTATCACACAGAGAAGAACAATGATTAAAAGCAAGTATCTCTCAGACAGTCAGACTTGTCATGAAAACATCAAGGATCCAGAAGCATGGATTAGGGGCACGTTTTGCTTACCAACAACCGGAATCTCACAAATCAACCTGATTTTCTCAAGAAGTTCATACTTGTTCATCTCAATCAAGCGGAAATCTGCCAGTACAAGATCAATCTTTTTATCTTTGTTATTGATGATAAGCGGCAAATCCTCAGCTCTTGTAGTAGCCACAACTGTGAGATAGAATTAAACATTCCAGGACAACAAACCAGTAGAGGTGCTCAGCAATAACAACAAAATGCGAAGATAGTTTTATCAAAAACATAAATTTAAACACTGGGTCATGATATACCTCTATATCCGCATTTGCGTATCATCTCTGACAGATTCGCCAGACATGTTGCATCGCTGTCTAATAGCAAAACACAAATATCCTTTGAGAATCTCTCTGATTCTTCAGTATTTTCCATACGAAAATTCTCTTCGCCTTTCATGATTGACAATAAAATTAATGCTTATAGTCAGAAGCCTCGTAGAAGTAGAGAAGACGAGAGACTTAATCGCATGTAAAATACACGCAAAGCGACTTTTATAAGCGGAAAGAACAAGAATGAGGGGAAAGGCAATCTAACGTGTTTAAATTGGAAAAAAGAATTCGCAAACGTATCAAGAACCAAATCTGGACCTGGATGCACTTCATAAATGCAACAACGAGCCTCCACGTTTCACCATGCGCTGCGTTGCAACAGATTCTAGTCAAAATCTTTAAACCATTTAAAAAACTACCATACATAGAGATAGCCATTGAAATGAAAAGTACTTATAAACGAGTTTATCCCACGGATGCAGAGCAGTCGCCGGTTCTTTTATTGGTCAAAGATACAATATACCAAAGTATATGATATTCAGTTCATGAGGGACTGCAAGTCTATCAGTCAAACAAATTAATCTTGCTTATGTATGCTTAGTAAGAACTGTAATCAAACGAGACACTTTACAGTTCGTTTAACCAAAAAATAGCTGAAACTTCTTAGTAAACAAAGCTATGAAGACAACTCCCGAGTATATATTGTGCAAAGAACTCTTGAGAAACCAGAAATTGAGTGCAAAGATGAAGAGATCGTGCAATATAATTTCAACCTTGCGACATTTTTTTCTTTTTGATTCTCGCATTTGCTGACAGTAGCAATACGCAGAGAGCATAACTATGGCGATGAGTCAAGCATAGTTAGCTTTCAGAATGGGCTCATGTCATCGGTGTCTGAGCCCATTCTGAAAGCTAGCTATTTTGACACATCAGAGCTTTTGCAGTGCAGTGCGTGTTCCCAGTGAATAGTTATGCTGAAGATATGCCGTTGCAGACATGGGCTGGATGAGTGTATAGTGTATACATGTGATGCTGTTTAAGGATTCATGCTCACATTTGTAGCACATATATAGCAAAACGATAAACTAAGAGGCAAAGGTAGAGTTACAGTCAGGGCCAAAAGGCAAAAAGAAGGACTAAAAAATCATTACCTTTTCACATAGTAATTGCTAAGCGTTGCCTCAAAAGGCAGGCTGAACATGTCCTATGCATTCATCTCATTCACAAGCTGTCAATATAGTCATGAACCTAAGGTTCACTTAGTCCATCCAATGAATCAACAGCCTCTTTCTCTTCAATCAGCCCATCTTGTTCTACACATGATTCTGCTGGCTGACCATGACTACCACAAAATCGTATGCCCATATCCTGTATTCTGCACAAAGTATCTCACCACATTTATGGATGTTTTTCACGAAATAAAGTTGTCGGGAGAAACAATTGCAGTCAAATAGAAGCATCTGAATAAACCTTTCGGGTATCGGTGATGGGAACCTACGAACAGACGACAGCGTAGCCCCAAAGAGGAGGTATCAGAATCGCATCAACACAAGCATCTGAATAAACCTTTCGGGTATCGGTGATGGGAACCTACGAACAGACGACAACGTAGCCCCAAAGAGGAGGTATCAGAAGTGATAGGAACATTCACATGGCATTCACTGTTTAGCTGAGCACAGAACCAAAAACCTGAAATTCACTCAACATGCAGTGAATAATAAGGTAAAAAAAAAGCTACACCGACAATTTTCGGTCATCTGCTCAATGTTTAATATTGTTGGTACATACGTAAAACAAAAGACTTTTACAGGTTTATCAACAAAAACAAAGAAAACGAAACATCATTTTTTCCCAATTGAGATAATTTTTAGAAAAGGTAAAAACTATTCTTTAGTAGTACCGACTTTAATAGACATCACCAGGTCACTGGACCTTGTGACTAGATACAAGAAATGAGTATAGCAAAGCTCCAACAAACTTTTTGAGTTTCCATTACAAAATTATAAACTAATAAGCACATAAGCAGAACCTCCAAATCTTGCTATACGTAGAGCGAAACATCCTAGGTCCCACATATTTTGTCTTATTCTCTACCAACTAACTTAATTATATATTAAGCAAAAAACTCTGTTCCTTTCTTTCTCTCAGACTGCCATCATCTTGAGATCTTCATCAAGAAGCTGCCTCTCTCTTTCCATAAACTCACATCAGCCACACATAAATACATCTTAACACTCCTAAGCATTTCACTAGCCCACTTCCGTCTTTCAAGATATTTTCTTTTTGTTTAAGACACTTTCTTATCATCAGTTCAGTGACTTTCAAGTTCAGCTGCGTACCTGAGCCAAAGAGTGTTTCAGGATGGAACTAAGGCCGAGAATGCTCAAAGACTGTCTCTTGGAAGATTCCAACTCCTGTTCCTCAAACGGGTTCAAATCGATTCCCAGACGGCCTCCTCTCAACCATTTCCCAATGATACCAAAGAGGAAACAATCCAATGCATTGCAGGCTGTGATTAACGCCGTCAAGAACCTCAGTTCCAACGCCGTCAAATCCGCTCCATCGAAGATCTTACCAAGGAGCCTCTCTCGGCGATTAACACCCAAGAACAAAGCAAAAAACCAAGCAAGCATCACCATTGTTCGGGTCAAAGACATCGTGCGGTGGAGTTCGTCTAAGGACCTGCATGAAGACATATCACATTTCGAACCGTCTCCGCCTCATCAGTACACAACCAAGACAGCAACAACAACCACAGGATCCTCCACCACCAGTGGCACATCCTGCAGCAGTTGGTGTGACTCGGATTTTACATCGGAGTTTTTACCATCATCATGGGGAAGTATCGTTGAGGAGTGCGGTGAAAAAGAGAGTGTTAAAAGCAACTTACACTGCGTCGGCGAAGATTCTTGCACAGCAGTAATAGTCGCCGACACTGAAGTGGGACCTGAGGTAAGAATACTATATTAAGAGAAATAGAAACTCGTACTTATAACATTAATTAATCAAATAGTTTAACTACTACATGCATAAATAAAGAGAAAATAGAATCAAATCAATATTAAGAAAGAAATAAAGTGACAATGTGATTTGAGAATTGAGATCTTATGGGTTGACTTTGCTTCAACCCTAAGGTCGCCCATGCTGTCTCTAAATACACGTGCAGCTGTTTGTTAATATAAATCCACATGAAGACAAAACAGAAGCTGTCTTTGTCCTTGGTATATAGAATAGCCTTTTAAGTCCTTTATGACTACGAATCTAACAACTTAACGAATCGAGTCTTATAAGAGTATCTCTACGTTAACATATAATAAACTGAAATTTTTTGGATGATTTAGTTGGTCTAATATGTAATGATCATGGTCAGGAGGACTTACAGTGTGAAAAGGAGCAAAACAGCCCTGTCTCAGTGTTTGAGATTCAACATGAGGAATATGACGAAGCATCAGACTCTTCTTTCAGTCAATGCCTTGACAATGTGGAAAGTGCGTATAGATTTCCTTCATTGCATTCGAAGCAAGTTCTCTTCTTAGATTTCTTTTAGACTTGGAAGTTCTGAAACACGCGCTATGTAATGATTTTGCAGGAACCAAAGAAAAGCTTATGCAAACGATTCAGCGGTTTGAGTCGTTGGCCAACATTAGTCCTTTCAATTTAGACGAATGGGGATCAATGGATGATGAATCTTGCATGGAAGGAGGACAAGAGACATGTATCAAATATGATGATGATGATGATGATGAGAATTGCGATACTGTTGATGGCGAGACTGAAGATGAAGATGCTGATGAGGTTGAAGAGAAGGCAGCACAGCTATGGAACCGGGTCAAAGAAAGACATGCCATTTGGATCCACGAAGAACATCTGATAATGGACTATTTCAGAGATGAATTGATGCAAAGGACAAACTCATTCCACGAAACTCAACACTTTAAGGACCAATTGGTGGCGGAGGCAAAAGGATGGTTGCATGGATATAAAGAATCAGAGCTTGAACGCGGAACAGTTGGGCAGAGGAGACAAGCATGTGTTAAAGAAATCGAAAGACGAGATTGGAATGAGAAACAGATAAAGGAGGAGGGCGATGTGGTGGTTACACAGATTGAGGAAGGACTCTTCAGCCTGTTAATGGAAGAAACGTTAACTGCGCTCTACCAGAACTGATTCCAGTCCACCTGAACATCGCAAACAGAAACATCAATGCTTAAGCTTTAGAAAGTACAAGGCAAAACATTTTTGAATAAAGCTCAGGTTTTAGCTCTACTTTTGTAAGAAGGAAGCAAACGAATAACACAATGTAAATTAACCTATAAATGCCTATGTTTTGCTCTAATTTGTAGAAGAAAACAATGCACATACATATAATTGCATAAAGATCAATTGCTACTCTACAGAAGCTAAAAATTGAATTCATTCTAAGCAAATAAAAGGTTCAAATAAAGAAAATATCATTTTGGGTTCATCGCAGGAATTAAGCACTAAGCGTAGATTCGCGATCGCAGCCATTGAAATTAAAAACCCTAAATCAAAGCCTATATACTGAAAACCAACGAAGATGAAGTTGAGATACTCCGATAGTCGAAATTGGAGAAGTAAATTGAAAAAAATGGAAAGACGAGGGAAATAAGTTGGAGACGTTTACCGGTGGTGGTCTCTTTCCAGGTCGGTGAAGCTCCGATAGTTTTCTATTTTTTTTTCGATACAGTCACTGAATTTATACGATTAGTGGGCCCATTTTATTATTTCATGAAGCCCATTATGTTTTCAAGACTCAAGAAGCCCGTTTTTGTTTAAAAATAAATCAATTTACATTATTTTTGTGTACACTATATCTCTTTTCCATAGTAATTTTAATTTACTACTAGGTCGAAACCTCCGCTTAAAATATTATAATTTAACAAAATGTAATTTGTAAAAATTAAATAAAAATTGAAAATTTGATATTTTACCTTTACTTAGATGTTAGTAGTTTTTATTTTGCAAGATTTTATTTATTTATTTTATAAATGGTTAGATTTTGTAACTATACTTATAATCTCTCTTTGCCAACATTAATATATAATGAGAAAGGTGATGCTGCAAAAAATAAAATTATAGTCTCTTATTCAATTAATTGGTAATTTCATTTTTCTGATAAGTTATTTTTAAATTTATAATTGATTCTCACATTTTATGGATCTTTAAAGTTTCTCATCTCGTTTTTTGTTTGAAGTCCTTTTGGATTTGCCGGTGTAGATCAATTTAAAGTCATGATCATATGTGATTATTATGTTGTATGGAATCAGAAGCGGGTACCCATCAGTGAAACGTTTGAAAACTTGAAATTAGTTTTAATATAAAAAAATAATAGAATCGGATATGTTTGGAAAGCGTCCAATAATAAATTACATTTTTGTTGAATATTTATTCTAGTTTAAAATTCAAAATTAAAATATTTAACGATTTAACTTAATACATATAATATCATAATCATGATTAAGCTAAGTAAATAGAAAAAACAAATACTATCTTTTAGTGAGGTCATTTTTTTATATTCTTGTATTCAACAAAATATATTACTATGCAAAACATAAATGGGAGGAAAAAACATTTGAACACGTCAAAGAAATAAAAACTAATTGGGATTGGTAACTAAACCAAATCGGGCCAAGTGGAAAAACTATGAGATTTTTATGTGCAGTCTCATAGTTTATGCGGATCTTTTGCTTACACTTAAGAGAGCTTTATAGATTTAAAACACAAACTGATTATTGCTTTTCATAAGAAGGCTAAACTCAGTTTTTTCGAGAAAAAGTATTGACATAAACTCATCATCACAAAAAAAAAAAAAAAAAAAAAAAAAAAAAAAAAAAAAAATACACTCATCATCACATAGAATTGTGATACACTACAGTCTCATCTTCATACATTCTCCTTTGAGCTTGAAGAAACCTCAGTTTTTTTCTCCTCTTCTTTGTTACTCATTGCTACTGGAGATGAGTTTTAGAAGAGACCTCTTATTAATTACGTACTAGTTTTAGAAGTTAAAATTAGTCTCTGTTTTTTTTTTCCTTTAGAATTTGTCTTTCTTGCAGTACGCTTATATCCACTGCTGTACATTTAGATTAATCAATTCAATCAAGAAGAATTTTTATTTCAACGTTTTCACTTACTTTGATAATCATGAGAATGCCCTAAAAAAAATGTTTAATACACTGCATGGAGTCCATGCATTAGCTAATACAAGAAGATATGATTTTAATAAGACCTAGTTTGCAAATCCGAGTTCTTTTTTTCTTAAGGAACAAGTTTGACTATCTAATTCTGAATAAACATCAATTCGGTACTAATGTTGTAGATACGAATTTCTCCGGAATGACTCAGAGAACAGTGAGAGATAAGTTTGCAAACTAGGGGGGAAACTTAAGTAAACGGATACTTAACTTGGAGAAGGTCTTAGAGATTTTGGACTTTTTGGGGGAAGAGAACTCAGGACCCATGACTTGGATCGGAGACTCACACCAGCTGAGGTTAGGCGGGTTTTGGGTCTCCGGGTCGAGTTTAAAGAAGAAACGTTAAAGTAGATTTCCCTTTCTACTTTGGTTTCAGATAAGTTTAGAATTTAGTTCGACTGTGCGAACGTGAATATATGCCCAAAAGATGTGATGTAGAAATGCTTATCAATCTCGAATCTCTCTCTGTGTACTGTAGCGTGTAATCCACGGTGGATATTTTTTGTTAGATTCCATAAATTTTGGGGACAAAACAGAGACATAAGCAAAAACATGGGATCCCCATAAATAATTATAAACTCTTGTCCCTGTATAAATAGACTTACATCTTCATATAGATATGTGTATGTATAAGTCTCCTCCACTTAAGAAGAATCAGTTTCATATCATTTGCAGCTTCTTACAATGTCGCGACCAATCCCCATTGAAGGTAATAAAACATGACTTTGTTATTTATCTCTTTAGTCTTTATCATTATCATTCCAAGTTTTAATAATTTTTCTCTTTTCGACAGAAATGGTGAGACTGTTTAAATCGCGTCACACAACATCTCACTTGTTCAAGATAGACAACTTCTCTTTACTCAAAAAGCATGGAGTCGAAAAGGTCGAATCCTCTGTTTTCGATCTCGCTGGTCACAAATGGTGTGAAGCTTTTTGATCTTCTTATTATGCTTATTCACATACAAAAGAAAACAAAGAAACAATTATGATCATTAACCTCAATATATCATTCTCTTGACTTTGGTATGATAACAGGACACTCTCTGTGTACCCAAATGGGCATAAAAGTGCTAAGGGGACTCATGTCTCCATCTTCTTAATGAATCAAGTTTCAGTAAATGTTTTGCTTACATATGAGCTCTTTGTCGTCAGTCAACTAGAGCGAAAATGGCACACCCATGGTCTCTCTCTCTCTCCCCCTTCCATCATATATCTGTGTGTATATATGTTTAATATGGCGTCCATGTTATATGTGCAGGAAGAGATGAATTTGATACAAATCCAGAACCGGCTACTGAGGGGTTTTTAAGGTTCATATCTTTTGCTGATCTTGAGAGAAAAGGTTTCCTTATTGGAGATTGTTGTATGTTTGGTGTCAAGTTTTATGGGATTGAACCTGCTAATCCCGGGACAGCAGAATGTTTTAGCTTAATTGAGAAGCCTCTTAATCACAAAGTTACCTGGATGATGAGCAAGTTCTCGTCCTTCAACCCTGGAAAGGCTCATCAGTCTAATGAATTTGTCGTTGGAACCAGGAAATGGTAAATATATATATTGATTCCAACAACTTATTATTCCCGATTAGAAAAACCTTATACTAATGAAAATGCATCACAATATATTTGATCAGGAGAATTAAAGTTCATCCAAGAGGGTATAATGAGGAAAAAGACAAATCATTTTCTGTGTATCTATCCGCAGAAGGGTTTGTCAAGAATGCACCAAACACAAAAACTTACGCGAGGTTCAAGCTGCGGGTATTGGATCAAGTTAGCTGGAATCATGCTGAGAGAGCAGGTTTATTTTTTTTTTGTCAAACAGAGAGCAGGTTTATATGATCCATCTTTATTAGGAGGAATATGTTTTGGAAATTAAGTCTTGTGATGGTAAAATAGTAGTAATCTTTCATTTTTGTAGGTACGGAGTGGTTTGATGCAGAACCTGAGCAAAGTGGCTTTGCGGATTTCATGCCTTTGGAGAAACTAGATGAACCTTATTTGGTGAAGGATAAGCTTTATGTGGGAGTTGAGTTTGAAGTTATTTCTACCACTAATTACTGTTAGCTTCTTGGCTTTAATAAGCCTTATTGTGAGCTAAATATAGCAAGAAATATTATAATGTATTGAATAAAATGCTGGAGAATGTACCTACTGATGCAGTAATGACTTGGAGGTGGGACTACATCAACCGAGTCTTAGCCAAAGTCATATTTCTCTTTTTGTCGTTTGTATAAATAAATAATATAAAGGAAGAACAGTTTATTTGCTTCCAAGTTTTTAGGAACTGTGAGGTTCTTCCACTTTTTGTCATCAAAGTCACACTTGCAATTAGTATCTACTTAGTAAAAACCTCTGTCTTGAGGGTAAACTGCAAATCAAACAAATCCAAGCTAAGACTAAGAGGATGAAATTGTCGTCACATGATCTCTTCTATGGATCAAAAAGATAAGAAGAAGAAACAAACAATTCCTTGTCAAGCAAGCATAATATTAAAGAAAAAAGAGCTTTATTCTAATTCCATGTTGGACATGGAGATCTGACATTCTTTCGGACTATTGTTGAAGGCAAAAACAATAAACTTGGTTCAATATTAGCGTCAAATAGATTTTACAGATCAAGAAAAAAGAAAAGAAAAATTTAGTGGTTCAGTCATTGTGGATAGTAATTATTGATGGTCACACATGTTTATGCTTTAATTATGTTCAAGGAATCGGAAAACCTTATTTAATACTTTATTCAATTATGCCATATGCCTTCAACAACATTGAAAGTTTGAAACCAAATTGCATGCAGCAGTTAACAAAACAAAACAAAGCAACACTTTGATACGTTAGAATCACCTTAATTGCTAAGGTATTACAAAGAGAGCTCTCTTTTTTGCTGAAATATCATCTGATCCAACCTAGGGAATTTTTTGAACATTGGTTATATAATTAGTTTTATTACATTTGGTAATATACATCAAGTTAATAAAGTTAGTAATTTTCCTAATTACACAAAACAAAATTTAGTCCCACCACAAAACTTCTCGAGTTCCCCAAACTGTGAAGTTTCTCCTATCTTCTGCTCGTTTTGTCCTTTCCTAAAGCTTATAACACAGTCATAAAATTCAGGATCAAATATCTATGTGTTACCAACTCTTGGCCTATAAAAGAAAAGACTTACCAAATCTTGACCGAAACATCGATCCTTTTGCTTTCGGTTTCTTACCCTGTCCGGTTTTTACAGGTTTCGTGTCTTTACCGCTACTCTCTTTCGGGGTAAAACCCGAGAGTCTGCTCACTTTTTCGTGGTACACAGCCGGAGGTGCAAGCCTTAATCGAGGCAAGCTCTCTATCTGTACCAATCTCTGATCTTTCTGAAGGTTGCTTAAGATTTCAAACTGCAACGTTGAACAGTGTAAATTTTTTAGTTAATTGCAATGAGGTTTTCAGTTTTAGAATTATAAACATCTTACCCGTGATATATGCTGGCTATGAGAATGATCGCTCGTTTCATTCTCGTATGAGTAAGGCGAAGCACGTTGTGAAGACCCGGCATTTGACGAAATTGTGCTTATCAGTCCATAATCTAGGTAGAACGATTTACCTTTAGCAGAGCTTTTGCTCGTCTTCTTGGTCATACAGACAGGACAGCCTGACGAGGAGACATGAATTGATGATGAAGATGACGACATCTCATTCTCTAAAGGTTCACATTGAAGATGTGTTGCGTGGCCACAGTTGAAAACACGCACACGCAGAGCAGAAAATGTCTTGGTGAGAGGGCAACTGCATATACAACAAAGCAAACTTCTTGGTGCATACCCATGAGAAGCACCTTTCTTGAGTAAGTTCATGGAGTAGAATGTATCATCTTCGATTAAAGACTTTGCAGTATCCTGTCCACGGTAAAAAAAAAGTTTTAGAACATTTGAAGAGAGATCAGCCAACCGATGCACGAGATTACATGATTAGAGAGACGCATCAGGTACATACCAGTATTCTCCGTTCGAAGCCATATGTTCCAAGCATTCCCAATATTGTAAGTTTAAAATCACCAAACTCTTGAGTACCGTTTTCGGAGAGGAGTTTTGTCATGATTGTTGGAAGACGAACATATCCTATCATTCCTTCAACAATCTCTTTGATAAATTGAGATATGAGCTTTCTCAGGATGTGTGTACCCGCCGTATCAGATCTTGGAATCCTCCACTTAATTGCAACGTCTGATTCATTGACATGAAGTTCCAATGATTTAACACCTAAAGGACCTTTGTTTCTTCCATCGGTGTTCCTCGGTTCCCGATATGAATCCATCAAAGGTTCACAGAAACTACATAAAGCACGAAGAGACAAGAGTACGATCATCATTGCCTTGGATTAATAGCTAGGAGCGCTTGCTCAGGCTTGTTAACTACACATGATATTAATTGCATATGCTTAAGAGTAACTATGACGTGAGTGTTATTAGGACGATAAGAAATTGATAAGTAGAGATCAGGTGTATGATCAGGCTTACGTGTCAAGAAAGCGAAACCAAAGTATCTCTGACTCCTCCGGATTAAGACGAGGAGTGTTGCGCTGACACAATCCTACACAGGCTTGCAGAACACTTTGTATGTCATGTACCTGAAGGATTATAAACAGCATGAGAGAGAGAGAGAGCCAAGTAGAGCACATTTTCTTATTGTAAAGAGATGTACGGACCTCTTTCAACTCTAAAGCACTACTGAATTGTTCCACACTGGCTCCTTCGCTAGCACCCAATTTCATTTCTGACATTAGGCATTCCACTGCAATTTCAAGCTCGACATATTTTTCATTGAGTCCAGAGAGTGTAAGTGACAAAGCACTTGCTGCATCACCCACCCTCTCCAAGAGAAATGCTGCTGCATCTACAATTCCATATTCCTGGCAGAGGCGAAGACAGTGTTCCACCCTGTAGCTGTCAAAGGTTTCCAGAAATCTCAAGACGGACTTCGGTTCGTACTTGCATAGTAGCTGTTAAAATACACAGAGAATCATCCGTTATTGAAGTGATTCGATGATGCTAAATATTCCCAAGGACCCACTAAAAAGGACAAAAAGAGGCAATTAAAAACAAGCCGATTTAGCAAGCACTATCACTTTTCCAGACAAATAACCCAAACAAATTTCCCTTGTAATAAAAGCAATGGGGGTTCAATCTTGCAAATTCTGAAAAATAGTGGAAAGAGCTATAATATTTGCAAGATGGTGATGAAGAGGGAAGGGATACTTTGGCAGAGACATAAAGACCTATTGCGGACTAACATTGTCTCACTGGCTTCTGCAGTCACACAAAAACCAAAATATTGTTTTCAGAGGCAGACTGGCAGGAGTACTTATATCTATTAGAAAGCTACCATTTGACATAGAAAAGATAAGGAATGCATTTGACTTCAAAAGATAAGAATGACCGCAGAGAGAGATTCACAAGTGTAGTGTTTTACCTCCAAGTAAAGCTCAATCATGTCATCAGTCACATTGACTGGATTATCTTGGAGGAATTTGGGAAAGCCATTGAGTCCTTCCAAATAAATCTCCGCCTCTTTGGGTATTTCCCTTCTAATGTTTTCACCCGAATTATCTACAGCTTCATGTTTTCTTAGACGAGAAAAATCAAGACTCCCAGACAAGTGAACCTCAATAACAGTCTTGAGATACAGGAACAAGCTTCTTGGATGAGAATGGAGCTGCTCTTGAATGCGTGTAATGTTGTCTTTCAAATTATCAATAATCAGGAAGAATGCTCCCTGTCTGCAAAATGCCAGACATCCGATATTATTAGTCCACTAGACCTAACTAATCAACAGAGAGAGAGAGAGAGAGAGAGAATAAAATCAATCTAAAGTTACCTGCTCAATTCAAGAAGCTCGGGAATCTTAGAAATAACTGCAGATTGAAAGGCAGTGAATTTATCTCCACTCAACTGTGACAGCATCTTGTTCACATAACAAAACGAATGTATGGGTTCATCTGCCTCTTTCATGTAGCTATCCAAAGCTGCAACGTACCTTCCACCGATAATATGAATATAGCCACAAACCTGGGGAAATTGGAAACCATAAACAGAGATCAAGGACAACATCCCAAAGTAAAGCATTGCAAGCACGCTATAGGGGAATGATGAATGTCTACCAAGAGGATACCTGATAAAAATGTGCTTTCTCACAAAGCTGTGTTACATAATCTACATCCCAATCAGTCTCCGGAACAGCTTTCAGAAGGTTTAGTAATTGGTTCTCTCTCATTTTAGAAGACACGTTATAAGTTGGAAGAATGTGATCTGATGTTAAGTAATCTAAAATCTGTGCCAATACGCTCTTGGGAATACTAACTCTACCAAGTGCTGCATAATATGCAACAAACTCAAATAGATGACTTGTATCCTCCTTGGAAGGCCAATTTTTATCTGATTTTGAATCATTTGGATCGCCAGATTCATCAGCCTTGCTTAAGCCCCCGTCAAGAACATGAACTAGAGCATCTATAAGATTCTGGATTAGTCTATTGTTGCTAACTTCGGGTAAACTGCCATCAGTCTTGGACTCTAAACTTACTTCACCGGACTTTAGCAGGTGACTTTCATGCTTCACCATTTCATTTTCTACAAATGCACATCTTAGGACATCTAAAGTGGCTTCAGTATCCATTTCTAGTAGATGGTAGAGGTTCAAATAATTCCATCGAGATGTTACACATGTACTAGAATCACGAGCGTTTGATTTCTCCAGTAGAAACTGAATCAGCTCAGTCCTAAGTGATGGCAAGCGTGTAGGATTTAGAGTTCCATGTCCTGCAGATAAAACTCAAAATAAGTTTGTGAGAGGAAAATGCCTATATAAAAGTTTATAGGTCACCGGATACCATATTTGGTCGATTGCAGATCATAACATGCAGTGAAACAATAATAGAATCCTACCTGGTGGAAAAGCCAAACCAAGAAAGCAGTACTTTAGATAAACAAGCATCCGGTACCTGAAGAAGGAACAGAGTTTAAAAAAAAAAAAAAAAAAAAAACTCGTCAGTTATGTGGCTGCAAAATATACCTTTGTTCAGACAACAACTATTGCGTCATACAGGAAATCAAACCTTTGTTAGAGAACAATAATATTGCAATTAGTTATATGCATAGGTGCGTCCTAGGATTAATTTCATGTTAGTTGGAAATGAATGGCATTTTGAATTCTAAGGTTTTCCTCTAGTCCATGACTGAAACAAGTGAGGAGGGGGCACTCGAGATCAGTTTTGCACATAAAGTTTTATAAAGCCAAAACAAAGTGCAACGACTTAACATAACATACCCAATGGCTATAGCCCTTTGTTTATCACTGTTCCGTAATACAATCAAGAGCTCCTCCAGAGGTGACCTGAAATCATCCAACCCTTTGTTGAAAAGATAGAGCAACGCCCCATAAAGCCCATGCTCACGGCAAATTCTGACTACCTAAGTGTCCATGAGTAAAATATCAAAATTCAACCATAATACTAAATCAACATATCAACTTATTGAAGAAAAAGACCGAACGAGACACGTGAAATTGTCTACAAAACATGACCTGATTGAAATCTAAGGAAGAAATATCCATGTGAAGAACACACTGCTCAATTCTTTGTAGCCATCCTTTCCTGCTATAATGTTCTACCAGCGCTTGCATAATCTGAGATGAAACAAAAAATCATAAAATAAAATATAACGGCATTCTTGAGGAAATATCTTATAATTTCACAAAAGATACCTCTGGAGGAAGAGATCCAAGCATATCCCTTAAAATATAAGGCTCCAAAAGCTCCAAAAATGTATCTAGACAAACCAAAAGTAGTTGCCACAATAAATAAGGAGAATTATAGTGTCTCATTAGACACAAGTAATTAATAGTCATCAAGAGATTTAAACCAAGATCAAACTGTGGTGAAAAAGTACAGCAGATTCCAAAACACGTTTACTTGATAAACTTAAAGTATCAAAATATAATAATTAGCAATGCATTCTATCCATCTGAAAAGTATTATGCTGTTTGATTTAGCAAACTATACAATTACTCTAAGCCGTATTGGAGAATATACATGCAAACACGCAGCACAACACGTACACATGTATTATGAAAATCGGCATACATAAGAAAAAGACTAACCCAAAGGCGAGACCAACATAAGATATTCCAAGATCGGTAGACCAAAGCTCTCTACGAAGTTTAAAGAATAAAGACACAGAACCAAGCAACCTATAGAGAACTAGTCTCAATCCTAACGTAGTAAACCTAGTTGGAATGATACTGAACCCTGTTCCGTAATAAAATGTAGCCCAAAACAGGAAGTTGATACACATACATATAGATGTGAAATATATACCTCTTTGTTGTACAGCCACAAATCTGGAAAATATTTCATCAAAGAGCAAATCCATCCTGTTAATATGAACACAGAATTCAACGGCAACACCACCAACACGATTGTATTGTTCTTCTATCTCTAAATTGACATTATTGGTTCCACTGCTTGGCTCATGAGTCACTCCATTTTTTTCAATCTGATTGGAAAATGCTATTGAGATATAAGAAAATACTTCATCTACGTAGGAAAGCAGTAACTCTGCTAAACTGGGTGCTATGGCTTCCCTTATAGCATCCACAGTTTTGGGGAGGTCAACAACTCCATGAGCTTGACCATTAAAAAGTGACATTGCCATGTTAAATGCACCCATCCAGTCACCTCCTCTCCTTAACACATCAACCCGCTCCTTCCACGGCAAAAGTCTGGAGATAACAAGATGCCCAGTCCCGAGAATGTATACTGAAGCCCCTCTGACACCCATAGAGTTGTGATAAGCTTTCTCAGGATTTCCAAAGACATTCGTAAAGTACGTATGATAGGAAATTATGTCATTCCCTGAAGAACCAGCCACCAAAAAGTTTGTCTGGTGAATTACCACACCATCTCTTGTGAACAGATACAAATGCCCCGTCACAGTTGGGATCACCAGCAACTGAATATGCAGAGAAAAGCAGCAAACTCATGAATATGTATTTGCTTAGAAAAATATTTACATCAGTATACACACCTGGTCATCTAGCCAAACCACACCAATAGCTGGACTGTCAAGTGACCATTTGGCATATTCCTTTAGGTCTGATTTTACCAACTTGGCAACCTGAACTCTACGATCCCAGGCAATGACAAGAAAAGAAACCCTATCTTCTGCCTCCTTAGAATAATTTTCTGCAAATTTTAACTTAAGTAAAACAGTAAAAGTAAAGTAAACAGTTATACCAGGAGAAGAATTACCTGTTGAGCATTTCCAGGCAGTGTATGGCATGGAACCCTCCCGAACCCCTTCTGGCCGAGGAAGTTGTGCATACACCTCCAAATCTGGAATGAGCTTTACCTGACGAAAACAGAAGAGGATCATTTCCAGAAGCGTAACCAGTAAATTGACTATCAACAAATATTTACCACTAGTCCAGTTTGATAGGAGGCAAATATGACAACACCTTCTTCCACCGAAGTTGAATCCTCATTAAAGAGCTTCCAAGTCGAATCGACCCCAACAACACCTCCCATCATGCTACTTATACTGCTGGATGGAACTGCAGAGTTACCCCCCTTAGAAGAGGCCAAGGAGCTTCCAAAAATTTCATCAGGCAAAGGTGATGCCGAGAGGACTGTTCCATTTTTTTGTCCATCAAGGAGACACTAATGCAGTCAAAATAAGGTGTACAAATCCATTCCTCAAAGTTAGTAAGGCTAAACAAGAAACCAGTAGAAGACAGACACAAAATCACAAGTAAATATGATCTTCGAATAATAAATTTACCTGCGTTTTCACTGTATACATGTTCAACAGCAGGGCCCAAGAAAAAGTGTGTTTGAAAACAACACCCTTAGTATCACTTGTAATAACTTTAAATATGCGAGAACCCTGAGAATCCCGGCCTAGAAAAAAGGCATATACTACTGGTGCAGTATGTTCAGTGATCACTTTTGCTATCGACGCTCTCTGCATGTCCCAAACTGTAACATGTCCATCACCATAACCTGCTAGCAGGAGGCTCCCTATCTGATTGAAGCAAACTGAGGTAACCGGGGACTGGGACCTTTCTCCTTGTAAACCAAGCCAAATCATCTAAAATTTTGTAAACATAAATATTAATAGTTTGAGCATATCTACCCAGGTAAGGTTAAAATGGACAAAAGCAATGATGTAAAAGACAACCTTTGATTCCATTTGATCTGCAGTATCAGAGGAATATTTACTTGGTATAACGACAATGACCCCCTTGGACGTACCCACTGCAATGTAATTCAAATGAACAGCCAAAACCTGAGGAGAACCATGGTCTCGCTTAAATGCCTGCGATGAAATGGTCCGGCTGATGACATTGTCAGCATCGACATCAAAGTAACCTAAATTCGTCGAACCGATCTTAACACCCTCAAGTCTCATTGGCTGAGCAGCAGCCCCTTCCTCCCAATGCAAACCAGTATATGCTTGTTTCTTCTCAAACTCTTCAGCCAACACAAGCTGCTTCCTAAAAGATTGCGATTTTAATTTCTCTCTTTTACTCATCCTTTCGTTTTCCAACTCAACAATCCTTTCTTCTACAAGCTCTGAAATGCCAGACATCGAGCTTCCATCATCAGGGATAAAAGCATCACCTCCCTCTTCTTTAGAATCCGGTATAATTATATCTGATTTATCACTCTTAACATCTATAACACTTGAGTCTTCATCATTGCTTACCTTAGCATCATAGCAGTTCCCCTCAGAATCATTCAAACGTTGAGATTCTGAAGACTCCACCAAAGAAGCGATTAACATTGTCTCATCTTTGTCGTCATCCACAGCAGCATTTCCGGCTTCCGTTGTCTTCTTCGCATCTTGCTCTGCAGAGACGTTTCCTTCAGCATCAAAACCAGAGGAGGCAGTGACTAAGTCAGGCTTTGAGTTTGCCTCATAATCACGGGTATCAACTAAGCTCTCAGTAATATCACTAGCTTGAACTTCCATTACTTTAGCTTCGTCTTCTTGACTTGCCACACCAGCAACTCCATTATCCTCATCCTCCATCCGAGATTCTCCACCGAAAGAACGAAAATCATCAACAGAAACGGATCCAGCAGCAACTCCAACAGAATCTCCATTAGAAGAAAGTACATCCTGATCATCTTCCTCTTGATTTGAAACCTGCTGCAGCAATTCGCTACTCGCACTGCTAGCTCTCCTTGACTTGATAATAGCAGCGTGTGGAGTAGGAACCAATCTAGAAGCAGCCACAGCCGCCGCAAGCGCCGCACCAGGCTTCACATTCGACCTTACTCCTGCGAATAGCGACGGCAAAGGCAACTGTCTCAAAGAAGAAGAAGATGTCGAACTTCGCCGCGTCGGAGGAAATCCGCGATGTAATTCAGATTCAGGTCTCACCACGGCAACGTTAGTAAGGGCTTCTGATAAGCGGCGATTCGGATCGTCTTGTTTCAGCCGGTTAATTGACGGCGGTGAAGAAGGAGGAGAAGACGAAGGAGATGAAGAACTGGAGGCGTTGAGAATTTCGTCGACTGTACGGTGAGGAACGGAGGAAGAATCCAAATCGGAATCGGAGTCTGAGTCCGATACGAGGAACGAATCGAGATCGAGTTCCATGTGCGACTTCAGCTTCAAAGTAGCGGTTTGGTATATCAGAACTCTCTGACTGACTCAACTCCGAACATTCTCCGCCGGCACTAACCGACGTTCTAATTTTCAGCTAAAACGAGTCAATCAGAAAGAAAACAAACGAAAGCCTCTGGATTAAGTAGAAGGTTCTTTACAGTTCCAAAAATCAGTTTTTATTTTTATTTTTTTGACAACATTAATATAATCAGGTAATCAGTAAAACGTAATAATCAGTAAACCATGGTTCATGAAACCTGCATATTAACTGAATTATCACGTTGTGAGGAAAAAAAAAAAAAAAACAGATGTTCAAATCTTTTCAGATTTTTAGTTTTTCTTTTCTATTTCAATATCAAATTAGTAAATAGACTGAGATTTGATAGGAAAGAAAGATGCAGCTGAATCCAAAAATCAAATTCAATAGCAAGAAAACAAGAGAGAAACTCATGTATTTGTACATAAGATAACTCTCATAAACTACAAAGAAGGTAGTGAGCCAATTGCTATAACTCCAGTACATGATATAAATGGACCAAAGTGTAGTAGTGTCGAAATGTCAAAACTTAAAATCTCAAAGCAACTAAAGCAATAGAACATAGGAAGAGTTAAAACAAAAAACAAGGAGACAACTAATCGAACAGGCCGAAACCAAGATCTCCATCACTCTCTTCTGCGGGTTCATCCTACAAACAATTAAACAACATAGAGTATCAATAACCAAACCTGGCTAAAAGATATAACAATATCATGTTTTCGTTCTTTAATTTTGTACCTTCTTCTCCTCCTTAGCAGGAGCAGCAGCAGTAGCTCCTCCAGCAGCAGCAGGTGCGGCAGCAGACACTGGGGCACCGCCACCACCACCACCGGCACCAACATTCATGATGAGGTCGGTGACATTTCTCTTCTCAGCCATCTTGGCAAATAGCATTGGCCAGAAAGACTCAACCTCAATACCAGCAGCTTTGACCAAAGTCGCAATCTTATCAGACTAATAATAATAAAGGTTAAGGATACAAAACAAAGACATACATTTGTTTCTTGAATCAGGATAATGACGCTCAATAATCATCAATGTTAAAGAACTGATCAAATACCTAACCAAAACATTGAACCAACAAAACAAAACTAATAGAATAAACATGTTTCAACATATTCTAACCCTAACCCTACACCAGCAATGAACAATGACTAAAAATCTAAAATGATGCTACAAAACACCTAAAAGAACAAGACTAATGACTAGACCAAAACAAACATGAATCTTGGTAATGACTATAGAATCAAAAGAGAGCTCCATATAAACACTCATTTATGCACTATGTTGTCTCGATAATGAAAACGGATCCAACCAAAGCAAGAGATAGCAACAAATAGCTAGGCCATGAGATTAAGAAAAAGTCAACAGATTTAAGGATACAGTGATGGCAATGCCCTCGTCCTCAAGGATCATAACAGCGTAGCTACAAGCAAGTTCTCCGACAGTCGACATTGTCTCTGCAAAACTAAGTAATCACAAAAAAACAATAAACACCAGATTCAAATCTCAACAACAACGAGAAATCAGACGAGAAAATTCCTAAATGGACACTAAATTTACTAATATAGGCGTATCGTAAGAGCACAATAAAACCTAAGATTGGTGAGAAATCTGTAACGAAAAAGCCTTTAGGTGTTGGAAATGTTTGAGGATCAAGAAAAATACCTCAGACTGCGATTTAGAATTCCTCCGCAAATTTCTTTGGTGGCGAGTGGCGACGATAAATAAACCTAGCTCCAGAAATATTGGGCTGGAAATAACCCTTGAAAGGCCCATTTAAAACTGTTTTGACTTTTATACAATTGGGCCTTTGATAAACAAAAAAAAGGTAGGGTTTGAATGAATGATGTAAGGAAGCCCAGATGAAGAGTGTTGACCAGATGCTTGACTATTAGATGTACAAAGGCCACGTGTATGGCTGTGGGGAATGACTACGGTGGTCCATCTCGCACCTGATGATGATGGCTCTGTCCTTGTATCTGGCTGACTGGCTCCATGCACGTGATAGCACGAGACTTTCACCAGTTCGTTTTTAATATTTTCTTCTTTTTTTTTCTAAAGATTTGGCCAATAAGCAAAGCTTGAAAGCTGTCATTTCGACTTAAATCATTGGTTTGGTTTAATATGATGAATAAATATATGATAACGATATCCAGTTTTTTTCTTAGGATAAAAGATGAATATTGGATTACGCACGGTTTAAACTTTATTAATTCTTGAAACATGAATCACAAGAATCGTCATTCGTCAGTAATAACCTTACGCTCGCAAGTTTATATTTGTAGGTATATTCACTAACCATGCGTACAAAGGGTTGGTCCGTATGCAGAGATGATAGCTAGGTCTATCTACATTGTTCGTCTATATTTATGATTTAACACGAAATTTCATAGAAGCTCGTGACAGAAACGTGTTCATCTAAAATCAAATGATTGCTGAAACAGCAATAAGCTGCAACAAAAAAATATAGATATACAGTAAAACCTCTATAAATTAATACTCTATAAATTAATAACTTCTCTAAATTAATAAATTTTTCCAGTCCCGAGTTGGGACCAGTGTAAAATATGACATAAATCGATAAATTAATAAGATAATAATTTTTTTGAAAATCTCATGTAAATATGGTCCCATCTATATCATAAATTAATAATTGTATAAACTTATTAATATATATATGTATATTTAACTTAATATATATATGATATAAATTTATATATGTTATATATGAATTACTATGATATATATTTAAAATATTATATGTAAAATATGACTCTATTATTCGGAAAAAAATTTGTATTATCTTTCAAACTTAATAACTGTTTTTCTACCTGTAATTGGTTTTAAAAAGATATTACTTATATAGAAATTTTTTATTTTTAGATAGAAATTTTTTTAATAATTAAAAATTAGTAAAATCTCTCTATAAATTAATAATTATTAATTTATCGATAAATTAATACCTCTCTAAATTAATAAAATTTCATGGTCCCAACATTATTAATTTATAGAAGTTTTACTGTACATGTATGTATAAGCGGGGAAAAAGACCGATCAACTATGGTAATTGTACTTTATACATTAATTAATTAATATGATACTTATAAAATTCACATTTCAAAAAATAAACTAGTAATGAGAGTTTGATGTTTTGTGAAAAAGATCACATATTAGAAGTGACTAGTGAGGTAACACTTTGAGTGATATAAGAACCATGGATACATATATTTATTTATTGTCAATTAACTATATAAGTTAGAAGTTTATAAAACTTAAAGGGTCTGATTAGTAACCAAAAATTGTACAAGTTTTTTAGCTGGTAGTTAGAGTTGTAAGATTTATCGGAATAGTGCAAAACTGTAAGAAAGCGAGCTGTACAAAAAAGCTAAAAATAAAACTGTTACTAACGTTTTTGATAAAACTTTTGTGATTGGTAACTGTAAAAAATTTACACCATATACCGCTTTGATAATTGGTTACCATTGTTGGTGTCGGATCCCGCACCAGAAGTCCGGGACCAACCAAAGATTGCCACGTAGTCAAGATAAAGGCCCATAAAGGATAAAGCCCGTCGAATCCATGAGCCAAGGGAACAGTCGAAGTGGGTATCGCCACAAGGAGAATCCGAAGTGACTGCATTTCGGCATGAGTCCGGCATCGAAATCACGGTTGAATCAGTTTAAGGACATTTGGGCCAAAAGGCGGGGCCCATGAAGATCAGAGTCAATTCAAATTCAAACGTTGAGGCATTAAAGTCGAAGATCAAAACGGGCACATTTAAGAGAGAATAATTATACTTAATTAGCCATTTTAATGTCGTTTCTCTATGTATAAATACAAAGGCCAATGACCATGTAAGGGGGATCTTCCTCTCGAGCAAGAAATACGATAGCAATTTTTGTATTCATAAGCCTTTTACGTTCTTATTTTTTGTCCCTCAAGAATAATCTTTCCTACTAATAAAAATACTTGAGTGTGTGAATCCGACATCCACATTTTGGCGCCGTCTGTGGGGATAGAAGGTTCTTGAGTGGTCAGATTTTTTCTTTATTACACTTCCGAGATAAGCAACAATGTCCGGTGGAGACGCCGTTGAGACATCATTGGCCGAAACCCTGAAAGCTATGCAGCAAACCATGTCGGACATATCACAAAAGTTCTCGGATGTGGAAAAGGCCGTCGATACGTTGCAAACATCCCAGGTATCTCTTAGTCAAAACGTCAATACTATACAAACTCGTGTTCGCTCTTTAAGTGCAGGAAACCTTGTGGGAATCCGAAGAGGGATATTCAACTCGCCAAGTTCCGCTGCACGAAATGAAACCAGCGGACAAACAACTCCGAGTGCTACTAATAATGTAGCTCAGACGTTGGAAGAAGAGACACAGCTCGGAGATGAAGAACAACTTGCAGCTCAATACGAGTAGGAGAACCTCGACCAGTTCGAGACCATGAGGAAGGTTAGCCAGGAATTAAAAGAAATGAAATCAAAATTTCATCAAGCTACAAGTTCGGAGCCAGACATCAATCGAGTCATTGAAGAAGCTAGGCGAACACCTTTCATCTCGCGAATTGCAAGTTTGAGGATCAAAGATTCCCGGAAACTCAAGTTGGACCCTTACAGCGGATTGGAGGATCCAAAAAGTTATCTCGCAGCTTTTCTGATCGCTGCTGGAAGAGTCGAATTGGATGAAGCTGATGAGGACGCAGGTTACCGCAAGCTTTTTCGGAAAATCTATGTGGCCAAGCTCTAATGTGGTTCACCCAATTAGAGCCGGGTTCGATCAGCAATTTCGATGAATTATCAGCCGTATTCTTAAAGCAATATTCTATCCTTATGGATAAAAGCGTTTCGGATGCCGATCTTTGGAACTTATCGCAAGGGTCAAATGAGTCACTTCGAGTTTTCATCACCAAGTTCAAAGGAGTGCTGTCAAAGTTCCCAAGAATCTCACAGCAATCAGCTTTATCTGCCCTACGAAAAGGATTGCGACATGATTCAAGGTTTAAAGAAGACTTAATACTTCATAAGCCAGACACAATTCAAGATGCACTCTTCCGTGCAAACAATTGGATGGAAGTAGAGGACGAGAAAGAAAATTTTGCCAAAAGAAATAAGCAAGAAAAGCCGGCAATTACCGTCCCTACCAAGAAGTTCGAGCCTAGGGAGAGCAAAGGACCAAGAAAATTCGGGTCGCAACCCTTCAACAGTACTGTCGGAAAGCAATTCCAAGGAAAAGGAAGGTCAAACACTTGGGCCCGCGATGAAAGTTTATATTGTGATATTCATAAAGTAACCGGACATTTAACCAAGGATTGTAGTGTCCTTAAAAGGCACCTTGCGGAGCTTTGGGCCAGTGGAGATCTTTTCAAATTCGATATAAAAGATTTTGTAAAGGAATACCACGAAGCAAAGGAAAACTCCAAAGATCAAGATTCCAAAAGACCAAGGTTATCCAACGAAGAAGAACCAAGGAGTTCGAAGGGTACGATCAATGTGATTCTAGGAGGCTCCAAATTTTGTCGAGATTCGATAAGTTCCATCAAAAAACATAGACGAAATGTCTTACTCAAAGCAAGCTTGAGCGAAGAAGTTGATTTTCGAGGTGCCTCAATATCATTTAGCGAAGAAGAAACACGGCATCTCGAAAGACCGCATGATGATGCTCTAGTCATTACCCTTGATGTTGCTAACTTCGAAGTATCAAGGATTCTTATCGATACAGGCAGTTCGGTCGACTTGATCTTTTTAAGTACTCTAGAAAGAATGGGAATCAGCCGAGGAGACATAGTAGGACCCCCGTCTCCATTAGTTGCGTTCACAAGCGAGTCAGCCATGTCTCTCGGAACAATCAAGCTACCGGTCCTTGCCAAGAAGGTATCGAAGATCGTGGACTTCGTTGTCTTCGATAAGCCCGCAGCTTACAACATCATCCTCGGGACTCCCTGGAATTATCGAATGAAAGCAGTCCCCTCTACATACCATCAATGTATCAAATTTCCAACATCAAATGGGGTGGAAACAATTCGGGGAGATCAAGAAGCTTCACGGACGTGTTACTTAGCTAGCCACCGTTTGAAGATCCAATAGCAATTAACAAAGCCCGCAAAAGAAGGACTAAGGCAAAAATTTCCTAGTAGGCAGAAAAAAGAGGATGTAGTAGTCGAAGTGGTATTGGAAGAAGACAAACCAGATCGGAAAGTCCGAATTGGAGCAACTTTGACTGGCCAAATAAAAGAAGCTTTGGTCGAACTTTTAAGGAGAAACAAAACATCGTTTGCATGGTCAGCAGCAGACATGCCTGGTATAGATCCAAATATAATTTGTCACGAGCTAAACGTAGATCCGAGCTTCAAGCCGGTGAAACAGAAAAGAAGAAAGCTCGGAGTGGAGCGAGCCAAAATAGTAAATGACGAAGTGGATAAACTTTTGAAGATAGGGTCCATAAGAGAAGTGCAATACCCGGAATGGGTAGCAAACACTGTCGTTGTCAAAAAGAAGAATGGGAAAGATAGGGTTTGCATCGATTTCACAGACCTAAATAAAGCATGTCCCAAAGATAGTTTCCCGCTCCCACATATAGATCGACTTGTAGAGTCCACCGCTGGGAACGAGCTGTTAACATTCATGGACGCCTTCTCGGGTTATAATCAAATAATGATGAACCCCGAAGATCAAGAAAAGACGTCATTTATCACAGATAGAGGTATCTATTGTTATAAGGTAATGCCTTTTGGTTTGAAAAATGCAGGAGCAACTTATCAACGGTTGGTTAACAAGATGTTCCATAATCATCTCGGGAAAACAATGGAAGTCTACATAGATGATATGTTGGTTAAATCGTTAAAGAAAGAGGATCACGTTAAGCATTTAGAGGAATGTTTTGATATTCTCAATAAATATCAAATGAAGCTGAACCCGGCGAAGTGCACATTTGGAGTCCCATCCGGAGAATTTCTTGGTTATATCGTGACAGAAAGAGGGATTGAAGCCAATCCAAATCAAATTAACGCCTTTCTAAACATGCCCTCTCCAAGAAACTTCAAAGAAGTACAACGGTTGAAGAAGCTTTTGGGCTGCTTAAGGCATACTTAACCACTCCACCTATATTGTCCAAACCGGAAGTGGATGAAAAACTTTATTTGTACGTATCGGTTTCAAACCACGCGGTTAGTGGAGTCTTGGTTCGGGAAGACCGTGGGGAGCAGAAACCAATTTACTACGTGAGCAAGTCAATGACGGATCCGGAAACCAGATACACAATGATGGAAAAACTTGCACTCGCGGTGGTAACTTCGGCTCGGAAGCTGCGCCCATATTTTCAATCCCATCCGGTTGAAGTATTAACTAACCAACCACTCCGAACAATACTTCATAGTCCAAGTCAGTCCGGCCGTTTGGCGAAATGGGCGGTGGAGTTAAGCGAATAAGATATAGAATTCAAAAGCCGGATCAGTATGAAAGCTCAGGTTTTAGCAGATTTCTTAACCGAGCTACCAATACCTGGAACGATAGAGCATTCGGAAAACCAAACTTGGAAATTACACGTAGATGGGTCTTCAACAAAGCAAGGATCCGGAGTGGGAATCAAGTTGGAATCTCCAACATCAGAAATTCTAGAACAATCATTCCGGTTGTTATTCAATGCCTCCAACAACGAGGCAGAGTACAAAGCACTGATCGCCGGACTTCGATTAGCACAAGGAGTTGGAGCTAAGGAAATATTGGCTTATTGCGATTCGCAATTAGTAGTTAACCAGTTTAATGGAGACTATGAAGCCAAAGACTCAAGAATGGAGGCGTACCACGAAGTGGTGAAGGATCTATCTAAAAATTTCTCGAAATTCGAATTAATCCGCATACCTCGAGGAGAGAATACAACTGCGGATGCACTTGCCGCATTGGCGTCAACATCAGATCCTGAGTTGAAAAGAGTTATTCTAGTGGAATGCATTTCGGAGCGAAGCATTCAAGACAGTAAAGAAACCCTCGTCGTTACAAGGTCTCGAGCAGCGGCACGCGACCGTGGCGAACCAGAGATCGAACCACCACCCAACAAACGAAGGAAGTCAAAGGGATCAAATACATCAAACAAGGAACCCGTTGTCTTAGCTGAAGATGTGATTCCATAAACAATGTTAGAAACCGAGCCGTTAATCGAGGAGGATGTTCTTGAACCAAACGAGCATCCCGAGCCTGAGCCACGGGTATTTCACAAGGTTGACCAAATTCCGGCTAAAGACTGGGGGGCTGACTAGAGGGAGCCAATAAAGCACTACATCATGACAAGTGAGCTCCCAAAGAATAAGTGGCAAGCCAGAAAAATGAGAATCGTTAGCGCGAAATTTTGTCTGTTAAAAAACACATTGTATAGACGAGGTGTCAGTGACCCTTACCTATTATGCATTTTTGGGCCCGAAGTCGAAATCGTTATGAGCGAAGTGCATGAAGGATTATGTGGGAGTCATTCATCAGGAAGGACTATGGCTTTTAAAGTAAAAAGAATGGGATATTATTGGCCCACTATGATTACAGATTGTGTTAAGTTCGCCCAAAGATGCAAGCGCTGCCAACTCCATGCACCATTGATCCATCAACCGTCGGAATTATTCTCCTCCATTTCCGCCCCATACCCGTTTATGAGGTGGTCAATGGACATCATTGGACCATTGCACAAATCAACTCGAGGTGTGATCAAGCTCTAATTCGGATCCAGAATTACCAATAGGCAGCAGCCCGGTATTACAATTCTAAGGTTAAAAGTAGGCCGTTCTTCGTGGGAGATTATGTATTAAGGCGCGTCTTTGACAACAAAAAAGAAGAAGGTGCCGGTAAACTCGGTATTAATTGGGAAGGACCTTACATTATTACCGAAGTGGTTCGGAACGGTGTTTATAGGTTGAAAGACTTGGAAGAGAATCCGGTCAAGCGACCTTGGAATGTGATCAACCTAAAGAAGTTTTATGTTTAAAGCTACATGCATTGTTTATGTACATGAACTACGGTGTGGCTTGATCCAGAAATGGGTACGTAGGCAGCTCAGAAACGAGTTCAGCTATTAATAAAAAATCTTGTTTTATTTCTGTATTAAAGGAAAAGGTTCGACTGTGCGAACAAGCGAAGTAAATAAAGTTCGGCTACGCGAACATATAAGAAATTGGAAAAAGAGCGTTTATTCAAGCAAATAAGGCAAAATGTCCCTCATCGTACACTTCGGATTATGGAGATCTTGTTGACGAACAGAACACTTCGACTCCTTGGCCAGCAAGGTCAAGGATTGACAACATGCAGTCTGGAATTCGAGCGAAGTCAGAGATTCCGAGTTCTATCCATTCTCCGGGGTGAGATTCAAGGATGTGGAGATCTCTTGATACTGTAGTAAGCCTGCGTTGCATCCGGTTAATTCTCTTCCGGAGTCTCCTCTTTTCCAGTGTAAGCTTCCGATGCTGAAGCGTGAGTGCCTCTATGAATGCCATCGCTGTTCCTTGGTCTCTGATTGGGAGATCCCTGATCAAAGCACATGGGGCTCGGATCTGAGATCTTAAGAAGCCGTGAAGTGGTGGAGGCTGCCTGCTTGGCTCATTTGGAGCATCTTCGTTTATCATTCCGATTCTGGAGAAGTCGGGCATAGATTCTGAACAGCGAAGATTGAACTCCATACCTACTAAAATAAAAAGAATGGTGAGGAGTAAAGGGAAATTGAAACTATAATTTATAGGAACCCCATATCCCTAGCAAGCTGCGGATTCTATCCAAGGAATGGAGTGATTCGCGGAGAGATTTATGCCCTCGAACAGATCCTGCATTAAAAGACGCATCTCCGAGAATAGTTGAAAAGAAAGGAAAGTTGCAAATGTTTCCATAAATAAAAAGGGGCCGAAGCCCATTACGAGTTTAAGATAAGTGAAGAAGTTAGAGAACATTTATGGTAGAGGCTCAGGAACAGGCTCCTTCATCGCCGGTTTAGTCTTCGAAGTGGACGACTTGTTCTTGGCATCCACTTCGGGATGATCCCGAACGCGTTTCCGACAGGTGCTGGCCTCCTCTTCGTCTTCTTCTTCGCTGTCAGATGGAACGGCATGGACCGGGGCGTTCACGGGACCCGGGACTCCTTTAGCGTGGAGATACATCCGAAGCATCTTCGGGATCTCAGCGACAGAGTCAAAGTTCCGCCATTCCCATTGAAAGGGATCACTTTCCAAGGCCCGTATCTTCCTCTCCACCCGAGCGATGCGAGCCTCGAGTGTTTGCCTTTTGAGGCCCAGCCGTTGCCTCTCTTCACACAAGCGACGGTGCTTGTCGGCAACCTAGCATAAAGATGAATGAATAAGATGAAACAAAAAGTTTTTAAATCAAAAACTTTAAATATTTACCTTGTCAATAAAGTCGCAAGCCTCTTTCTTCTCCTTTGAAGGAAAGTGAAAGACGGCGTGAGGGAAGAGAACGCCGGCCGGTTCAAAGCCGTCGCCGGACAAGAAAAGTGGGCTGCCGGGATCAACAGGGGCTACCTTTTCGTTTTCCATTCTTGAAATATTTCTCAAGTAAGATGCTAAAACCGTGTTTAAATAAAGCTTAGAAGTAGGTAAGCCTTTATTTATAATGATTTAGGGTTTGTCTTGGAACTATAAATCCAATAATGGTAGTGTGTCCGAGTGGTTTAAACCATTTTTGGAAAATCGAGAAAAGGCAGTTATTGCATTAAAGACGAGCTGTTTTCCTTACTTATAAGAAGGGAAAGAGCAACCGTCGCATTAACTACAAAAGTTTCTAAGGCCCAAGCCCAATAAGTTTATCGAGTTGACTAAACCCGAAGTGGGGAACTCGCTTTAAGCCGAGCTCAGTTCTCGCATTCTAAAGAGAAAGGTCTGATCAGCCTAAAAATCTCGAAAGCATAACCACAAGGCCACAAAAGGTTAAAAGCGGACTTTGCAAACCCGCATATAATTTTAACCAAACCCCCTTGGGGTCATAACCTAGAAAGGTTTAAAAGCCTCCTCAGGCAAATATCTTGTTCAAAAGAGATAATAAAGCCTCCTTAGGCAAAAACAAGTTCGAAATTAAGTCTTAAAATTAATGGGACAATTCCCAATTTAAAGTGGACACAGCCACTACGGAGCAACAGCCACCTCGGAATCCGGCTCAACTGTCGAAGCTTCATTCGCCTCCTTGGCAGGTGCTTGGTCAGATGAAACTCCTGGTCCGCTCTCCACAGTACAACCATCCTCCGGGATGACCTCCGGTGTCACAGGAATTTCGGGTGGGACGACATCTTCCATCTCACTTGAGCCTGGGAAGGACAGTTCCAGTTAATTTTTAAAAAAAAAAACGTAAGGTAAGAAAAGGGTGGTAAGCGTCAGGAGTCAAGCGTTACCTGCCCAGTCTAAACCCGACTCACTTATAGGAGGTGATTCAGTAAAGAATTCCTCGAAGTCATGCGGGCTGAAGGTCAAAGTGGGAAGAGCTGCCAAGCGACTCCGTTTTTCAGAAAGGTTAGTTGATATTTCGGTCCTTTCTTGCTCCTCGGAGAAATCTGTTTCATGGATTTGATCCAACAGAATCAGGTTGCTCTCATGCTCCTTGATGTCTGATTCCAAGTTTGACCTAGCCTTCTCGGTCTGCATGAAGCGGATGGCCCCATGGATCAACTCCATCCCGCGTCCCTTAACCTCCTTTCTGGCCTTCGATGCCGACCTTGCCAACTCGGAATCACGCAACTTGGCTAGCGCCTTGTACTTCGCGTCAAGCTCGATAAGTTGGTTGTGCAGGGTATCGGCGGTTGATTCGGATTCATGAAGTCTACCCTGAACACTAGAAAGTTCATCCTGGAGTTTGTAATTCCGATCGTACTGGTCTTGCAGCTCCCCCTTTATCTGCGCAAGCTCGGATGTTAAACTGTCGACCTTGTCCTCCAGATCGTGCTTGGAGCCGGCAGAAGAACTGAGTTCAGCCTCAAGAGCAGAGAATTTCTTCTTCCACATGTCAATCTCCCTCTCCCGTCCAATGACTAACCCTTCGTAATGTTCGATCATGTCGTTAAGTTCGCCGTGAGCCTGGCATTATACATAAACCCGGGATGGCGAGTCAGTTCGCAGAATGGCAATGCAATATAAAAAAAAAACAAAAACGGAACTAACCCGAGAGGAGTGATGCGCGTGAAGCAAATAGCGTTCACGAATCGTAGGGCGCCACTTGTCGAAATCTGGCAAGATCGAACCCGATCGGGTCTTGAAGCATCGGAAGACGTTGCCTTCTTTCTCCATAGCTGCGAAGAAGGAAGAGTTGTAAAAATTGGAATCTTAATAGAAACAAAAACGTTAGAATATGTGTAAATCACCAAACCTGAAAGCGATTTGACTTAAGGGACAAGAACGGGCTTTAACCTCGAGGAAGCATCTCGAGATTCAGAGTCTCCCTTTTTAGGAGATGCACTCCGAGCAGTCTTTTCGCTGTCGGGCTGAGAAGAAGAAGACATGTCAACAGGACGGGGAGGACCCATTGGTTCAGTGGGAGGAGATGATCGAGGTGAACGGTCAGTCCGGGCCCTTGATTTCTCCCTTCGCGGAGACGAGTCACTACGGGATGACTTGTCCCTCTTCCTGCGAACCAAATTCTTAAGTGGTTCACTGCTGAAATCGTCTCGGGAAGGACGAGGAGAATCACGACGAGGAGATCGCTCTCTCCAAGGAGAACGTTCGTCACGACGTTCGCGACGAGGTGTTAACCTATAAGGAGCAACGGATCTGGCTCCCTCGGAGCTGTTATCATCAACCAGCAGGGTCCTGCTGTAATCTTTTTTGTCAATGGCGGCCGCAAGGAACGCCTTGTTTTCATCACAAGCCTCTGCTATCAGCTTGGAGAGTTTCTTACGCTGGGCAGTAAGGGCCCGAGCTGACATTCCCTGAGTTGAGGGAGGAGGCGGAAGACGATGAAGTAGATTGGGAGGACTCATCCTGAGTTTTCGGTTGGCCTCGACAAACCGATCCAGGGTGAAAGAATTCCAAAGGGTTTCCCCTTCAAGGATTGTTTTGAAGAACTTGACAAATTCTTCAGTCGGGAGAGTTGAAGCAATGAGAGCTGCGAAATGAAACAATGAATTTGGTCAGTAAAAAAATAATAATGAACAGGAAAGGAATATACGACCTAGTCTCTACCAGGTTTCGTAGACCACTTCGATGGGAGTACATCGGAAAGATTCCCAATCGAAGCAGGAGTTTTCTTAATCAGAAACCAAGGATGGTGCCAGTTTTCATCCTTGTTCGGGAGGTGCGAGATGACGTTTCTATTGGCATTTGGGTATGCCGAGAAGTATCCTGTTTTCTTTGACGAACTTCTCACACTTAGAAGTTCGTTCAGTTCGGGGACCCCAATAATGTAGTCCGCTTCCGCCGCAACGGTTATAATCCCGAGGATGGTTCGGAGGAGATTGGGAGTTAATTGAGGTAAAGCGATCTCGAGAGCCGCCAAGAATCGAACTAGGGCTTCGGGAAGGGGGAAGGTCAATCCGCAGCCCTTGAAGTAGATTTCGTAAACACAAAAGTAGCCGTCACGGTGGTTCTCCGGGGATTCCGTAGGATCGGCTATTTGCGCCTCCGCTATGATTCCAGGAGAAATTTGACAAAGCCCCTTTAATCGCTCAAGGGACTGAAGAGTACAGGTGGATTTGTAATGAGGACCGGCAATATCGTTAGGACGAGTGCATTCATCATTACTAGAGCGCCTCTCATCGTAAGACGGAGATTCAGGTCTCTCAGAATCAGAAGTCATCGGAGAAAAATGAAAAATTCAAGATCCGGGGAAGAGAGGTTCGGTGAAGAAAAGTAGAGAGAAGTTTTGATTAAAGCACAAAAGTAAAAGAAGAAAGTAATGGTGAAAAGAAGTTACCTCACACAAACTAATGATGAAACCGCCTCGGAAGTTGTGTGGGAAGTGGGAAGGTTTTTTCCCGTTTTAATAGTAATTAATTAATATACGGTCATAATGATGACATATGTCACTCGGGTAAAAATGGCTAGTGCCGAAATTAAAGGAGTGATGAGATTTTCGGCGGGAAATCAGAAAGATTCTCGAGCGCAATCTTTGGTCATTTAAAGCATTTAAAGTCCTCCGAATTGGAATGACACTTCGAAGAACTTGGGGGGCTAATTGTTGGTGTCGGATCCCGCACCAGAAGTCCGGGACCAACCAAAGATTGCCACGTAGTCAAGATAAAGGCCCATAAAGGATAAAGCCCGTCGAATCCATGAGCCAAGGGAACAGTCGAAGTGGGTATCGCCACAAGGAGAATCCGAAGTGACTGCATTTCGGCATGAGTCCGGCATCGAAATCACGGTTGAATCAGTTTAAGGACATTTGGGCCAAAAGGCGGGGCCCATGAAGATCAGAGTCAATTCAAATTCAAACGTTGAGGCATTAAAGTCGAAGATCAAAACGGGCACATTTAAGAGAGAATAATTATACTTAATTAGCCATTTTAATGTCGTTTCTCTATGTATAAATACAAAGGCCAATGACCATGTAAGGGGGATCTTCCTCTCGAGCAAGAAATACGATAGCAATTTTTGTATTCATAAGCCTTTTACGTTCTTATTTTTTGTCCCTCAAGAATAATCTTTCCTACTAATAAAAATACTTGAGTGTGTGAATCCGACATCCACAACCATTCAAAGCCAACATGATGCATAATCAAAAGATTCAAAACACACATTTTAAACCAAAAAATAAAAAATAAAAAACACCTTAAATTTTAACGGATATTGGTCCCACTCAAAAATGACATATGGATCTGATCAATAGAGAGAAAAATTAT